GTAATGAAATGTTACAGTTTCAAATGTTCTTAAAATCTGTTATAAAAGATTTATTAAAATCTGTTATTGTTTTCATCCTTACAGTAAATAAAATATGCTTTTTAAGTTTGGCGATTTATTTCTGAAACACCCTGTATACATGGGACATTCGTTACTAAATCAACGCTTTTTTCCGATTATTGTTTATTTGTTTTATTTTTTAAATGTTTTTGTACTGATTGCTAATAGCGTTATTTATAAATTTTTTAGATTATTATTTCTATCGATTCTCGAATTTTCAACGGATTTTCATCAATTAATTAAAGGTAGAAAAATATTAATAAATTTTAAATTTTAATATTAATTTTAAAAATGCCAAAAATAAGAAGAAAATATTATCGAAGAGCACAAGAGATAACTAATTTAGTAATTAATAATGTTCAAAATAAGAATTTAATGCCATTATTAGAAAGTACACCTTCAGTTTCAAATAATAATTTAGAGGATTGCAATAATTTTTATATCAATAATGATTTAGAAACCGTGAATAATTATAATTCGGACCGTGATCCCGATGATACAGAACATAATTTTGATAACTTTGAATCTACAAATTTTGTGAATAACTTTAAATCTATAAATTCCACTACTGATTTTCCAAATTCTATATCTTGGTTGCAAGAATGGGCAATTAAAAATAATATAACTCATACTGCGTTAAATGAATTAATATCTAATATGAAACTTAAATATCCGGAATTGCCTAAAAATGCTCGCAGTTTATTAGGAACTCCCAGAAAAATCAATGTAGACGTCGTTGCACCAGGACATTACTATCATTTCGGTTTAAGTAATTGCATCGAAAGACTTTTATCGCGATGTTCTTTTCAAAATTTACACTGTATTGAAGTTAACATTAACATCGATGGCCTGCCATTATTCAAAAGTTCAAGTAGTCAAGTTTATCCCATTTTATGTAATTTAGTTGAAAATTACAATGAAGTTGATGTCATTGGAATTTATCATGGACATGAAAAACCCACAGATGCCAATGTATTTTTACAATCTTTCACAGAAGAAGCAAAAAATTTAACTATTCATGGTATAAAAATTAAAGATCACACTTATTCTTTTAAAATTAAATCTTTTATATGCGATGTTCCTGCTAGATGTTTTATTACTTATACAAAGGGTCATTCGGGTTATTACGCATGTTTTAAATGTACAGCTAAGGGCAAATATTATCTCAATAGAATGACTTATCCATATTTAAATAGTTGTCAATTAAGAACAGATAACGATTTCCGATTAAAATTACAAGAAAACCATCATATAGGTACATCAATACTTGAATCGATTCCTAATATAAATATGGTGAATGATTTTCCATCTGATCCGATGCATTTAATATTCTTGGGAGTTGTTAAAAAACTGATTTCTTTATGGTGTTACGGAAAACCTAAAACAAAGTTATCCTTTTGTCAAATATCTGAAATATCAAAGTTATTAGAACATCAAAAAAAATATATACCTTCCGAATTTAATAGAAAATCAAGATCTTTGTTTGAAAGTAAAAGATGGAAGGCAACCGAATTTAGAACTTTTTTATTATATACGGGATCTGTTGTTTTAAAATCTATTCTAAATCATGATCAATATTTAAATTTTTTAACTTTACATGTAGCTATCACTATTTTGTCTAATTCAAAACATATGGAACAATATTTAGATTATTCCAACTCCTTATTGCAATATTTTGTAGAAACATTTATTAATTTATATGGTAAAGAAAATGCATCGCACAACCTGCATCATTTATTACATATTTGTGATGACGCGAAAAAATTTGGAATTCTTCAAGAATTCAGTGCTTTTCCGTTTGAAAATTACTTACAATCTATATTAAAAATGATTCGTAAAAATAATAAAGAATTAGAGCAAATTGTTTGTCGTATAACTGAAAGAAACTATTGTATAAATTCTAATGTCAGAGTGAAATGTAACGAGCCTCAATTTTTAAAACCACATTTTAATGGTCCACTTATTATTAATTTTCATAATTGTAATCAATTTGGCAAAGCGGTGTTTAAACAATTTATTTTAAAAATAAATGAACCCGATAATTGCTGTAGCTTAAAAGACGAAAACATTATTGTTATTAGAAATTTTGTTGTAAATAATGAGGGCTTTTTCGTAATCGGAAATAAATATAAAACGCTTACAGATTTTTACACCGTACCATGTAAGTCGTCAAAATTAGGGATATATGTAATCAATGATATTGGAAATTTAGAATCCTGGGATTTAGGGCAAATTGCAAATAAATGTATGAAATTAAAATATAAAAATAAGTATGTAGTTTTTCCCTTATTACATTCAGAATATTTTTAAAAATTTTTCTTTTCTTGTGCTCTTCGCTAAAAAAATGTTAATTTTTTATATAATTTATAATAATATATAGATAAATATAATATATATATAATATACAATATAATATATAGAGGAAATAGGTTTGCAATTTTTGTGATAAGTTATTGAGTGTTTGCGCCTTTTCATATATAAATTGTAAATAGAATTTTTTGTTGGAATAAAATGCTCCTTAAATTTTTTGTTGAAATGTTTGAAGAAATGGAGAGATCATGGACTATAGTAAGGTTTATAGATGAAGATACAGTTGAAGCTGTCCCATCTACCTGGATTATCAATAAAAAATGTTATTGGCCACCGTTTCACATGGAAAAAATTGTAGCGGCTATCAAAAAACATGCCGAACCAAATACATGTTGGCCTTCATATAATGTTATGACTTTCAGAAACAGCAGTTATGGTTAATATAAAATATTTAAATATTATACATTCCACATATACTTTTGTGATCAATAATATATGTACATAATCGTTATTTTTGTTATAATAATATAAATATATTTACTTGTATTTTCAGATAACTATAAAACAGCCAGGGAAAAAGCCAAAAAGGCTGAATTAACATCTGAATTAAACTCCGAGACTGATAATGATAACATTTCGAAAAGAAAAATTATCCCAAAGAAATTCTTTTCGTCATCAGATGAATCTACCGAAGAGTGCACTAAATTACGGACGCCTCCAATTATGAACACACAAAGTTCGTTTTAATATTAAATATTAATATATAATATACATAATATATATAATATAATATAAAAAATATATAATATATTATTATATTATTTTAATGTATTATAAAATATATTTATGATATATTATTTATTTAAAACTTACTTCCTCCGATTTTACGAAATTTGTTTTACATAATTTAGTAATTGCATTAATAATATAAATTTTAATCGACTAATCTTAATATTCGAAAAACTTAATAAAACTTTGCTCGAAAATAAATAGAAAAATCAATATTTTAACATTTCACAATTGACATATCAGATCTTTCATGTCGTGTAGGGAAATATAATATCCTAATGACAGCAGCTAGTCATTCAATATCTTGAATTAAATCTATAATACAGAAGAACTTAACAGAAGTATTTACATAGAAAAACTGCAGTTGCAAAATTATGTAAAACAAATTTTGTAAAATCCGAGAAAATAGATTTTAAATAATTAACATATTATAAATATATTATAATACATTCAAATATAATATAATAATATATAATAATATATATATATATATACATATAATTTTTTTAAATTGGCGAAGTCAATATTGTTAAATACAATTTTAATGAATCTTCAAGATTTAAAGAAATTGTATTTAACAATATAGTTAAAATGGGTCAATAAAAAAACTAATATAGGACAATACTTGATATGCTTTTCCAAAAAAATAGAAATAATGAAATTTAATTCTAAAACAGTTAGAAGAGCCAATATTTTTATTATTTCAGAATTAGCATTGAATTTCCTATGTTATTATGTTCATTCATGCAGTATTCTATATATTTATTATATATAAAACTAAAATACTAATAAAATTATTAAATTAATATAATAATAAAAGCTACTAAATTAAAATTATTATAAAATAAGTATATACTGATATTATTAAATATGTTTAGTTTGTGTATTACAAAGATTATATATGTAACTACTATTATTATTTTTTTTATACATAGAATCATTGAAAAGTACAAATTACGAAAATGCGAAGAGCAACAAATGTCAATCAAGATCAGTGGATCAATCATCCAATGAAGTTCCGAATAAACGGACGAAGCACTTACAAGATGGATTTTTGAATATTTCAAATATTTTGCAGGACAATGAGCACAACATACAAAATAATAAGACAGAAGATGTTGTCGACAATAAAATTGGTACATAATTTATATTGTTTAAAACTAACTTTATAATTTTTCATAGGTTTTGTCTGTGCTATCAGTAAATAACTGTAAAGAAATAATTATTAATTATTATTATACTGTTTATTCTATTTTTGATATTATTATATTAACATTATTTTATCATTATCATCATTTTATCACCATCTTCTTTATTATATTTCATTATCTTAATCATTATTTTAATCAATAATTATATTTATATTAATCATGTTTATATTTAATCATATTTATATTTTATTATTTATATTTATTATTTTGTTATACAAAGAAATATTAAAAATGTTTTTGTGATTGCTTTCTTTGTCTGTGCACTTTATAAATAAAATGTCATAACTATACGTTAATAGCACGGACAAAAATCTATTCAATATACATATATTCTGAAATTACTATTTTATATATACATATATAATCTCAATGGAATCTTTAAAAATTGGAATTTAGTAAGTAAAAAATAATCTTTACATTATTTTTGTTTTAATTTACAGTGCTTCAGTATTTTAAAGAAATTATCCGTCAGCAATCATACTTTAAGACCCAGTTATGGCAAATAGCAGATGATTTAAAAGATATGAAAAATGAATTGTTGCAACAAGTTCATCAACGGCCCAATGTAACTGAAAGAGAAGAGTCTATTTTTTCTTTCCTCATCTTCCTTTTAATTCGGTGGAAGATTTAGAAGAGCACGTGGAACAATTTTAAATCAACCGAATAAGTTCGAAATATCGGTAATAATAATTTATTAATTATTAATTTTTTTTAATGAGTTTTATTGGATTTTTAAAATTAATAACTAATTGTTTAACTTTTAAAATGTTAATTATTTACAATAGATCTTTATAAATATTTTAAAAACAATTACAGTTAATCTAAAATTCTAAATCACAAAATAAAAATTAACTTAGTAAATAAGTTAAAATTAAAAATAAAAATTTATTAAATTAAATTAATATATAAATTTCAAAAAAAATAAAATAGATTCTTTCAATTCCTTTTAATTCTATATTATTATTACATTTTAATCTAATTTGTGGTTATTAGAGCGATATATTATTAAAATTTATAATATAAAATTATATAGTAATATTAATAACATGTAAATTATTAAATTAATTGTTAAACATATTGTTATATATTTGTAATTTTCAAAATAATGTTTTTTAAAAAATATTTATTGTAGGTTAAAGAAGTATCCAGAGTAGGGGGAAAAAATCCTTACGAATTTATTAAGCGCAATTGTACTCGTTTGTTGACCAACGAGCTGGCTGAAAAATATAGTTGGCTAGGAGCAAAACAGAAAAGGAAATTTTGTCATTTAAAACTCGCTGACTTGCTAATTGGTAAGTATGTCTATAAGTAGATAATGTTATTGTTTAATTTATTAATGTTATCTTATTTAAATAATTAATCTTAATGAAATCACATAAATAAAAATAAATTATTGCTTACAAGATGCTGATTTTTTATTACAGTTTCCGGTCAAGATAGTAATTCCGAATATAACAAGAAAGTTTTAGAAGAAGCAGTTCAGAAATGGCTGCGAAGAGCTAAAGAAAGATTAAATGGTGAAAAGAAGAAGCAAGATAAACAAAGAATGAAGAAGACTCATCATAACTATAAGAAGACTAATAACAAGAAGATTAATAATATTAATAAATTTTTGATATATTTTATCATATATATTTATATGATACATATGCGTAATAATTAACATTGTAAGCGTTCAAAGTTTTTTAAGTTAGATTTATTTCAAGATAAAGTTAAGATTTATTTTTAATATGTACGTATGTGATACTAATGTTTCCGTAACAAAATGTTCAATTTAATTTCTAGTTTTTAAATAAGATTTTAATTTTCCAGTCAATGAAAAATAATATTTCTATGATATATCTTATACATATAAATAATAAGCCATACATAGGTTAGATTTCCATATTTATATTATCTTTTATAATTAATATATATTATAATTATTCTCAAATATACAAATGTCGGATGTCAACGCTCGTGAGTAGATAAAACATTGTAGTAAACTAAACATAAAAATCTTATATCATTTTGCTTTTGCCAAATAATGTGATTAATTTGAATATGTAAGCCAATGGGCGCATGGAAAAGCGATAGTTTGGAATCTGTAGGCATAACATAGACAATAAAATAAATCGACCCCTACTATCTTTTAGCCGATCTATTCTATTGTATATGATACCTACCAATTCCAAACTTTCGCTTTCATTCGCTCATTGGCTTAAATATTTTAATAATATAACAATTATTGCGAATTTAGCAAAATGATATAAAACTTTTCTGTTCAGTTTACTGTATTCTACTTGCTCGCGAGTATAATTGGCACAATCTTTACCCTGACATCTTGTATGTAATATTGATCATTTGTGTATATTATATTAATTATTTTTTTACATGTATATGTATAAAAATAAATATATAATATATAA